GAATGTTTCTGTTCAATTATTATTTTATACATGAATGTTTCTGTTAATTATTATTTTATACATGAATGTTTCTGTTAATTATTATTTTATACATGAATGTTTCTGTTCAGTCCTGAGATGATTCTGTTGTGACTTGGAGCTGAAGAAACTGAACTGAATAGTATTTATACCAGCCAGGGTCTTGGTTTCTAGTCCTTCAATGGTTCTACAAAATGTTTGAAAAGGCCACAGGAAGTCCAAACATCAAAATAACAGAACAATCTTTCCAGATCCATTTGAACATGTCTGACTTGTTTGTTTTGTCTTCACAGAAAGGCGGCGCTCTGAAGAAAGGACCAGTAGCCAAAGCTCTGTGGGCCATGAAGCAGGTCCTGCCATACAGCCTGTCTTCTCTGAACTGGGACTCTCAGCACCGGACCAACCAGCAGCAGTGTTACTGCTACTGCGGCGGCCCTGGAGAGTAAGTTGGACCAGTCAGCCGTGTGCAGCTGTTGGCTGAGGCCTGACGGTGTTCTGGTTCTGTGTACAGGTGGTACCTGAAGATGTTGCAGTGCTCCAGGTGTCAGCAGTGGTTCCATGAAGCGTGCACCCAGTGTCTGCAGGAGTCCATGATGTTTGGAGACAGGTGAGTGTTTGTCCGGCCCAGTTTTCAGTCTGTGGACAGCGCTGACGGTTCTTTCTTCTGCTGCTCAGGTTCTACGTGTTCCTGTGTGCAGTGTGTAACAAGGGGTCAGAGTACGTCCGCCGCCTTCCTCTCAGGTGGGTCGATGTGGTTCACCTGGTTCTGTACAACCTGTCCGTCAGCAGCAAGAAGAAATACTTTGAGCTGGACGAGATCCTGGCCTTCGTCTCTTCCAACTGGGACCAGTTACAGCTGGGAAAGGTAACCAAAGCACCTGACACGGAGGACTGAACCAGAGCCAACAGAACTAATCCAGACCGCTGCAGTGTTCTAAGCGGGCTGTAACCTGAAGGTGCCTTCTTGTTTGCTCCTTCAGCTGTCCAACACTCCTCCTGCAGAGAGGGGGCAGCACCTGCTGGACGCTCTGAACAAATACAAGAGCAAGTGAGGATCCTTCACCGCCTCCGTTTGTCCGTGTCCTCAGAATATAAACCTCTGGATGTGTTTCAGGTTTCTGTGTGGAAAGGAGATTAAAAAGAGGAAATGCATTTTTCGTCTGAGGACACGAGTTCCTCCCAACCCCCCCAACAAACTGTTTCCTGACCGTGCTCCAAATGATCGGGGGCGGAGCCACAAGAAGATCTCAGACAGGTAATTTTAGTAACAAGAGTCAGGTCATCGTGCAGTCAAGAAGCTGCGTGTCATCAACACATGCCGTCCAGTTGGTAGTCCTCAAACAACCGACAGGTGGTGTGTTGTAAGCGTTGGTCCGGTCCTCGGCTGTTCTTCAGGTTTTGGTCAGGAGGATGCTGACCCCAGTCTGTTTTGTGTTTCTGTCAGTGGTCCAGCTGAGAGGAAGAAGAAGAAATCAAAGTGGCTTCTCGAAGACGCCATTCCTAACGTGAGACTCTCCCTCTCGGTTGTTTATGGAGACGTTTGGCGTCAGGCTGGACGTTTGACTGTCTCTGCTTACAGAACAAGCTGACCTGCAGCTGGACCTCCAACCACCACATGGCCAACATCTTTGACTTCACCCTGGACGAGCTGCAGAGCCTCAAGAGGTGAGCTCAGTGTGCCCATCGATAAACTGATGAGTGATGTACTCGGAACCGCTGGGTCCATTTACAAAGTTTCTACTCCTCCTCAGCAACTCCAGCAGAACCGTCAGCATCGATCAGGACTCAACAGATGCCTCCACCTCAGGTTCTGCTTCAACAAGCAGCTCTTACCACTTCAGGTAACCTCTCCTGCGTTTTACCTGTTGCCTCGTGGAGGAACCACTGACCTCTGACCTTTGTCGGCAGGAGGAGGGTGGGCAGCAGGAAGAGGAAGTTACCCAGCAACAGCTACAGCCAGTGGGCCAATCGCAGCGAAGCAGGGGAGGAGCCTTCTGAGACCGACCCTGCTGCTGCAAGCCACGCCCACCTGACCACAGAGGCCTCCTGCTTTCTGTCAGACTCCTCCCACCTCCACTCCTCCATCTCCTCTTATTTTGGAGTGGCGGGCAGACTGACCAATGGGGAGAGGTATCAGGTGCTGGCCCGCCGTGTCACTCGTCAGGGGACGGTCCAGTACCTGCTGGAGTGGGAGGGGTCAGCACCTTATTAGGACAGTTCAAGGTTCAAGGTGTGTGAGGAGCTCTGATTTCTCAGCATCCAGACTCGGCCTGATCTGCTGAGACCGTGTTTCTGTGAAAATTACATTTAAATAGAGTTGCAGCAGTTTTTAAATCTAATCTAATAAAATTATTTACACCTACAGTTAGAATATTTAATCCAGCCACCCCTCACGTTCAGAGTTCATGCTTAGTACAGAACATTTACACGTTAGTAACAAATTTAACACATTTTTGTTTAATAGAAGTTGAACTGGTTCCAGCACTGACCCCCACCCAGCTGAGGCACTGGTCCTGCTAGTTTATCAACTAAGTCAACGGACAGATGTCACTCTGAAAGCCTTAGCTTAGCATTAGCTAAACAGGCTGAGGTAGCGCAGTGGTCAGTGTCGCGGGCCTGTTGTCCTGAGGTTGCAGGTTCGAGCCCAGGCTCTGGTGGGGGTTGGGCCGGCTCTTCAACACGTCAGTGATGATGGTGGAGGTCTTCATCTTCCTGCCAGCAGCTGATGGTCAGGAAGCTCCGATCTGTATATTCCCAGAACTCTTGTGCTACATAGTTCACTTTAAATTATTTGCACATGGCCTCTCCTCCTTATGGCGTTTGTCAGTTAGCAAACTCTTCATGCTGCATTAGAGTGTGGATCAGGACAGCAACTCAAAAATAGATCTAACCTGCCTCCACACGGCTGACATCTCCTCCTGTGACACCTGTGTGCTCAAAGGTGGCATCAGAAGACCTGTTAAATTACAACGTAAAAAACCTTTGATCTCATGTCAGTGTCCTCCTGGCTGAGGCTCAGCCTGGAAACAGAGACGCCTGCTTCCTGTTAAATACCTGTCCTTCCTGTGCCAGGGCCCTGATTCAGTTCAGCTCCAGGTCGTCTCAGGACGCTGAGCAGAAACATTCAGACGTTTTAAAAGACGATCAGTAAAGTTCTGTATGTCAGGAAGCAGCAGATTGTGTTGAACCTTCATCACAGTCTCCATCCTGAGCAAGAACAGAGGAGACAGTGGGACGAAAAAACTCCCTTTAACAGGAAGAACCCTCCAGCAGAACCAGAGGACGAGCGTCCATCTGCTTCGACCAGCTGCCTCTGAGAGGACAGGAAGTAGAACCAGACCAGCAGAGTGTCAGGTGTTGTCAGTGGTGTTCACAGGTGAGTTTGGAAGGCTCAGGTATCAAAGCTGCTTGCACACCTGTACAGTCAGTGTTTAGTCGAGGCGTCAGCCAAGGACTTTTGTTTGAAGTGCTGTCAGGAGATGGAGCTCTTCTTCATTCAACAATCCATGTTTGTTCTTTTATAGCACCCCCAGCTGTCAGCCTGATCTCACCTGTGTTCAGGTCTGTTCCAGGTAAACCGCAGCACACCTGAGGGTCAAAGCTGAGCTTTCTGCCTGTTACCCGGTTTGATCAAACCTACAGCTGCACTCAGAGAGAGTTCATGTGAACATGGATGTTTGAAGGATTCTTCTGCTCAAAGTGCTCCACTGACACAAACTCATCTCACTGCAAGACATCCTAAAAACCGCCGCTTGTTTTAACAGAGGAACATGTTGTTAACATGTAATGAACATGTTGTTAACATGTAATGAACATGTATTTACCATGTATTGAACATGTTGTTAACATGTATTGAACATGTTAACAACATGTATTGAACATGTAATGAACATGTTGTTAACATGTTCATTACATGTTAAATACATGTTAACATGTTCATTACATGTTAACATGTAATGAACATGTTAACATGTTCAATACATGTTAACATGTAATGAACATGTTAACATGTAATGAACATGTTGTTAACATGTAATGAACATGTTGTTAACATGTAATGAACATGTATTTACCATGTATTGAACATGTTATTAACATGTATTGAACATGTTAACAACATGCATTTAACATGTAATGAACATGTTAACATGTAATGAACATTTTAACATGTATTTAACATGTAATGAACATGTTGTTAACATGTTCATTACATGTTAAATACATGTTAACATGTAATGAACATGTTAACATGTATTGAACATGTTAACATGTATTGAACATGTTAACATGTAATGAACATGTTAACATGTAATGAACATGTTAACATGTTCAATACATGTTAACATGTAATGAACATGTATTGAATATGTCGTTAACATGTATTGAACATGTTAACGTGTAATGAACATGTTAACGTGTAATGAACATGTTAACAACATGTTCATTACACGTTAACAACATGTTCAATAAATGTTAAATACATGTTAATTACATGTTAACATGTTCATTACATGTTAACATGTTCATTACATGTTAAATACATGTTAACATGTATTTAACATG